AGTGAATATAATATAATTGAGAAAATAATAGAGAGTATATATATAATTGGAATTAAGTGCGTAATGTAATGTAATTTAATGTAATGTCATATAATAAATTGAATTGAAATAAAGAGATATTGAGTTAAAAAGTAATTGAGAGTTTATTAAATGGTAGTTAAACCATAATTTTTGTGATTTTGAGAAATATTGATATAAATGGATAWTTGAGTTTTAAAAAGAAGAAATAAATAAGTGAATAAATATTTGAAATAAATGTGCGCACATACATATGTAAGTTGAATTAAAAGAGAAATACTAATGAGTAAAATTTAATAATGTGTAATTGAGAAAAGATATATAATAGAGTAACTTAGGGGCCCTAGAATAAGCATTATATTAAATAAATTAGTAAGAAATAAATCTTAGTGAATTTTGGAGTATTGGGTAATAAATATTATAGTTACTACTAGCTGACCCGGCAAACGTTGTTTTGCCTAAATTTTTTTTTTTAATTAAGTTGACCCGGTGAACTTGACGCCTTCAAATAAAGTCTAGATTGATAATAAAATTCAAGTATTCCAATGTAATGAATTGTTACAGAAATCAATATATTGCATTTTGATAAACAATGTTTTTCGTTTTGTTTTCTGGTGCAAAAATAAACAACGATGACGGTTTTCCAACACGCGAACTGGCAACGTACAGGCCCGTGCGAAAAACATAGAAATTCCAAATTGATCCCACAGACTTCCAACGCTTGGTCTTACGATTTATTGATTGTCATCGCAAAAGCCAATCTAACGGGAAACTGAATCCGCTTAAACTGAAATGGAAGATCTGTTGGAATGATCGGAATTCGTGGGATAAGGAYTTCCTCCCCTTTRAARTTGCCCTTGATGATCGTTGATTGTATTACAYTGTTCATCAGTTTCTTGACGGACAATCGTGTACCATTACACAATTTAGGAGGATTTAGATTAATAATAATAATAGCCCTGCTATTATCGATATTTGTATTATTATTTATATTATATTTTTATCTGCTAGAGGGCGCCACCGGTGCAACTCAGTTTTTGTCTCTAAATCCCTAACTCACATGAGTTAGGTCCATAATTTATGCTATAAACCCGCTCCCCGACATTCTCTATCATTTAAAAAAAATTTGAGCCAAATCGGCCCAGCCGTTCTCAACTGATGCAATTTCCAATTTTTTGTCTCCATTTTTATATATATAGATTATTAGGTAATTAATTTAAGAATTTCAAAATAAATATTTTGAACAGTTATAAAATTAATAATAAATAGTGGTTATTAAATAAATAGTGATAGAATAGTTAAGTTAGCGAATTAAAATACAATTTAGGTATTTAAATTTTAGGCACATAAAATAAATAAATAACTTTATTTAAATAATTTTACTAAATTAAAAAAATACTGGGTGATAACAAATTATAAATGTTCAAATATTGAAAATGTTMCAGTTAAGGATAGGTAAATAATTTATCATTAATTTACTTTTTTTAAACTATTGTTAATCTTTTTCAATAGGTATTTTTATTATCATTTCATTTCATGATTTAAAAAAAAATATATAATTATAGGTGGAGGTTTAGTGAAGCTGGTATTAAGTTGTATACAAGTGAAAAGTCAAAAGCCCAGACATTGAATGTTAGCTTGAATCAGACCATGCAGTCAATATTTGATACGATGCTACAAGACCCAGGACGTCGTACAATCAAAAGTAAAATAATAGGCTAATTATTATGTTTTAAAAAAAAAAAAAATGAATTTAGTAATTGAAATGTAATTAGATTCAGACATGAGTGTAAACCATTGTTCTAAGTTTAAAGTAATTATCTTCTTTGATAATTTACATTCTAATAACACAATAATCGAAATTTRTTTATYAATTAATAATCCGAYTKTAACGCTCTTTTTACTATACGGACGAATGTCGAAGGTTGATTTTGAAACAATTATAGGTAGAACCATGATGAATAATATTTATAATAATGTTTCAGACTATCAATATGAAAAAAATCTAGTATAATGTAACTGATGGAACATATACTTTGAACT